GCCGTCTCCTCTGTGACATCCAGGCTGCCTTCCCATTCGAGGCAGCAGCCATGCTGGATGACCATTTCCGGGTGGGCCAGGTCCCCTGTGCCGCAGATGCCCTGAGCGAGGTTTTTCCTGTGCTGCCAGTCACCCCAGCCGTGGCCGGTGAGCTGGCCAGCGGACCTAGCACCCTGCTGATGCTCCCTGTGTCTCCTGACAGTCACACTGGTTGCCCCTTTGCTTTTCTGTCACATAGAAGCCTATATGTGTAGGTGGTTCACATCCGCCATGGCCAGGTGGTGGCGGGCCACCCCAATACACCATGGGAACGGCACCTGGGGCCGCCAGATTCCCCACTGGCCCACCCAGCTTGGCGCACATTGTATAAACCACCAACCACCAAGAAGACTGGCAACCTGCAGTGGCGGTTGCTGCACAGCATCCTAGCCACTAGCACATTTGCATCCCACTTTGACCCAGCCACCTCAACGGCCTGCCCCTTTCATGCCTTCCTCAACTGTCCCTGCCTGCGGTCGCTCTTTGTCACCCTCGAGCCGCTGCTGCAAGCGCTGGGCAGGAGCCTCTTGGATACCACCTATGTGTGCTCCTACCCATACCGGGTAGCTGAGAAGGGCCCTGTGTGCCTGGCCAACTTCTTACTGGGTCAAGCCAAGATGGCCATCCTCAAGAGCTGCCAAAACTGGCTTGCCGGGACCAGCTCAGATGATGCCCTGCAGCTTTTCTGTTTCCTGGTGCAGGTACGCCTCTTGCTGGAGTTTGAATGTGCTGTGCTCCAGTGAACAGTGCCCTCCTTTGAGACATGCTGGGCCCTTGAGAGAGCGCTGTGCCATGTGAAGGACAGCCATCTCAAATACGTGCTCTGATGTCACAACCGGTCTGGGCGACCAGGCAGGCTTGGTGTCAGACTATGACTTCCGGCTCGTGCCGCACCCTGGGCCCTCAGCAGGCTGCTTTTTTGCTTTCTTTTTTGTGTGGGAAGTTGAAGGTGTTGTCATGTGTATGATTGGATAGAGCAGGGTAGGAATTGTTTATTTATAGATATGACCATGTGGCCGGTGTTTCGACTGCATAATAGCATGTAAGACATGACGTGGAATGTAGCAAAGGTGTCTGTCATGGTGTGGTGTGATGAATGCAATGACATGGTGTTTTTGGTTTGATGGTAATTTGTTTGTCTATGCTTTGTGAGTGGCCAACCTTTTTGTATCCCTGAATAAAGTAGTTAAAAAGTCAAAGTCTTTCCTTC